GTGTGTGTGTGTGAGAGAGAGAGACCTATCATTTGGATACTGCAAATTAACAGCCCAACAAGTACAAGGGCAGCTGCAAGAAAGCCATTTTTAATGCATAAAGTCATAGCTAAAATGGAAATGAGAGAGTAAGAAACACTTGAGCTGAAATTGTGTGTTTAAGGAACCATTAGGCTGCTTCTTATATAGACAAGCAGAAGATGACCGACAAAGACTTAAAAAGCCAAAGTCACACCCAGTGAAGCACGTCATGGAATTAAAACAGTGTATTTTTTGTCACAAGTGAAGAAAAAAAAAATGTAGAAAGTTCAAATCTGATGTTGTGATGGAGAGACATAGAATTTTATGAGAAAAAATGGTCGAATATTCGGAGAAGGGGCGAAGTTGCCCCTATACTATACGGCATGCGAGATTGAGCAACTTCGTCCTCCGTAGACTTTGATTTAATACTATTATTTTTCTAGCTTGTAATTCTGAACTATACTCAAAAGTTGATCGGGGTAAATTTGGACCTTTTAAAAAATTAAATGGTGAGTGACAGATGACAAAATTAAGTAATTTCAGGTGATATGGCGGACATATTAGGAGAGATAAGAATAGGAACAAAGATATTCACGACAGAGTGGGAGTGACCTCTGTGGAGGACAAGATGCGAGAAGTGCGACTGGGATACTTTTAGTATGTAAAGAGGAGGAGCATGGATGCCCTAGTGCGAGAGGTTGGCAATGATAGGTCTAAGGAGAGTAGAGGTAGACCGAAGAAGAATTGGAGAGAGGTAATTAGACATGCCACATTTTCAACTTACCTAGGACACGACCCGAGATAGAAGAGCATGAAAGTCGAGGATTAGAGTAGAATGTTAGTAGGTCGTCGAGTGATTTCTCTCTTTTCTGTGGAAGAACATAGTCTAGTTTAGATCACCTTATCTTCTCCCTTTTCTCCCCATCATCATCATCATCATCATCATCATCATCATCATCATCATCATCATCATCATCATCATCATCATCATCATCATCATCATCATCATCATCATCATCATCATCATCATCATCATCATCATCATCATCATCATCATCATCATCATCATCATCATCATCATCATCATCATCATCATCATCATCATCATCATCATCATCATCATCATCATCATCATCATCATCATCATCATCATCATCATCATCATCATCATCATCATCATCATCATCATCATCATCATCATCATCATCATCATCATCATTATTATTATTATTATTAGTATTATCATTGTCATCACCATCATCATCTTACTCTTTAATTTTATTACTATTGTTGCTTCTTTTGCTTTGGTTTCTTTACTACTATTATAATATTTTTCCTTTTTCTTTTTTAGTATTTTCATCTTTTTTTAATTCCTGTATTTTACAAACCTCTTTTGAAAAGGCTTTTTTAAATCGACGGTCTATTGGAACCAGCCTCTTTAGCTCACAAAAGGTAAGGGTAAAGTCTAAACAAATACCAAATTAATTACTTACCCCCCAAAAAAAAATTATTCTTGTTGAGCTGAGGTAATACTTGAATTTGAAAGTAGATCAATTAATCTTGGTATTCCTTTGTTCCATTTTATCTGATATACTTTTCTTTAATTAGCTTATCTAAAAAAGAATGACATATTTTTTTATTTAAAAATATTTTAACTTTAAACTTTTTATTTTATCTTAATGAGATGGTTTGTAATTACGCAAACGTATATGGCTTACTTTAGATCATAAATTTCAAAAATTTATTTTCTTTTTATACTCGATGCTGAATCTATTACTGCTACATAAATTAAGACCGAGGAATTACAAACTTTTGTCTTGCATGGGGTGTTATACTTTTTCCACGCAAAAGAACACAATTTACTTAGTTATAGCTAAGAAGTCTGAATTTAGTCGAGTCCAATTTGGACTTTGAATCTTGCCTAAATATTCTATACGAACTTGTTCAAGGGTTCAAAACATATATAGAAACATCACAACTCAAAATTAAAGTTCAAATCCAATTTATGAACTCATAAGTTTACAACTTTTTTGGATAGTGTCGAATTATACCCTAACCCCTCGGATCCTACTTTGAACATATAATTAAGTCCAAAATTGTCATACGAACCTAATGAAACTTTCAAATCATGAATCTAAGTTTGTTTACTCAAAATATTAACTTTGGTCAATTCTCGTAATTTAAGGCTTTAAGTTCTAGTTCAAGTGTTCCATAAGGCTTCAAATCCCTCGGAACCCGTGCCACCATACCCACAATTCATATATTACTAATGAACATATGAGAGGTCTCAAATAGAGAAAAGAAATTTTAGATCTCAAAAATGACCAATTGGATCATCACACTATAGTATAGTGATAAACTAAGATAAATAAACGTAATAAGTGGTAAATTGAGATATAAGTAAACATAATATGTAACAATGGTTAAGTGAGAAAGATGGAGTAAAAAATGCAGGTCAGCATATTTTTTTATTTTCTGAAGAAAAAAATTATTTATTGATTCCGCATCTAAAATATTTTTCATTTATCATATTATTCATGTGCCCGCTGTCGCGTTGGTATACAACCATTGTATGCACGGTGAATTCGAAGGGTCCAATTTCCTCGTCATTATGATGCCCCGCGAACGTACATTCCCAAGGCTCGAGACTGGGGTCAAGGTTCACCTTCGAGGGCTGTCGATGCTCGACCTCGGGGCAATGCGGACCAACGACTATATTGGAAAAGAGGGGAGTTCCCAAAGTCTGTTAGGCTCGTCTGAGACGGCATCATGACGTCGACTAGCTGTCTCATCTCCATATCTTTGTAATAAATGCGTTTGCACTATGATAGGATCCCACATTTTTTTATATAAAGGGGGTCCTTACCATATTGTAAGGATTGATTGCTCCATACTAAATAAGCAAGAGCATTTTCTGTGCTTTCTAACATACTCTCTTGAAATTATTACTTCCATTTAAATCTTCATTATTGTTCATCATTTATTGCTTATCATTGGCCATAAAGAGCCTTCGTTGATTTTATTATAACTGTTAGTCATACCTCGATCATCTTTGATAGCTCACAGCCGAGCTCCGAGATCGACCTCGAGGCCCCCAAATTGACAAGCTCGAGGCCCCGATTGTTAACCTATCAGTTTGGTTATCATCTTATCCTTAACTCTTATTTCATTTCTAAGTCTCACACACATAGCATCAATTGCTTAACTACTAGCATAAAAATAGATCACGTATTTTTAGAGTCTCATAATCAAATTTAATTGTTTTACCATTGTCATGGTAAACAGTTTGACGCCCACTGTGAGGCTAAAAATAATAATGATAATTTTTTTGCTGGTTTCATCACATAACACAAGTTGTCTTTCACACCTGTTCTTGTCCAAGATCTTCAAATTTCAAGTCGAAATGCCTAACTTAGTGAATAGAGATAAAAATAACTACCTCGAGAACCGAGGAGAGAATAGTGTGGCTGTTCCAGGTGTCGGTATACCACCACGGAACCCTGTAAACGCACCAGAGCCAACCTCTAAGGTGTATGATCTCACAGGACGCCCAATGCGTTGTCATCGCTCCTCATGTTCACCAGCGCGCTGAAAAGTTCCGCAGGAAACCTAGCAAAATCTATCTTGGACTCAGAAAGAGATTCTTCAGCATGTCGTTTATATGATTATTGGAGGGACCGACATTCCCCAAGGGCCCATGATCAAGCGGACAAAAATATCTGCCACAATGGAAGGGCCGATCCGAGATCCCGTGGCCGAAGACACCCTCGCATTCAGTGAAGAGGATCTCGAGACCTTGGCAGAGCCACACAATGATGCGCTGGTAATCTTGTTTCTTTTAAACAGCATTCAGGTTAAATGTGTGCTTATGGATCCATGCAGCTCGGCCAATGTAATCAGGTCAGGGGAAGTAGAACAGCTTGGCTTGCTCGATCGGATCATACCCGCCTCCCATGTCCTCCACGGCTTAAACATGACCGGCAAAGTAACAAAAGGAGAAATCACCCTTCCAGTCGATACGTCTGGCATGGTTCAGAACCTCAAATTTCACGTCATCAATGGCGATATAAGGTATAATGCGTTGCTTGGAAGGCCGTGAATACGCCTGAGGGCAGTACTGTCAACTCTGCACCAGATGATTAAATTTCCGACAAAGGATGGCATAACCACCATATACGGAGAACAACATGCGGCGAAAGAAATGTTCGTGGTTTACCAGGAGGAGCCGATCCCCGTACTCTCGACCTCGGATGTGTCTAGGAGCATACGGACCCCCGAGGACGACGAAGAAGATTTCCCCGCTCCTCGAACTTTCGTTGCCCCGAAGAGTTGGATGCAACGAAATCGACAATTGACAATCAGGAGCAAGCTGTTTTGATCGAACACCTCCCCGATCGTAAGGTATACCTGGGAATGGGATTAACCCCCGAACTCAGGAAAAAATTCATTCAATTTCTTATTGATAATATCGACTGTTTCGCCTTGTCACAACTAGTAGACATGTGATTTTTGACCCTCCCCAAGATTTTTTATATATTAGCGTAAAATATTTAATTTAGGCATAATATAGATATTTCAAGTAATTTTGGCTCGTTTACTTTATTTTATTACAAGAAAACCAAAATAACAAAAATAGGTTCGTTAATGTTTTGTAGTCATTTTTAATCTTAAAAAAAAAGTCTAAAAAAAAATATAAAAATACTATCGTATTTTTATTTTAATATGATATTTGAAAATGCCAAAAATAGGTTTGTTTTAATGGTTAGTTTTATTTGAATAGAAGGATTAATTAATTAATAAGTGGGCCCATATTTTTAATCTCGTTCGCAGTGAAAGAATAGAACATGGGCTCGAGCAACCCAGTTTTAGGACTAATTTTGGACCTAGCCCACAATTGCCAAGCCCATAATTCCTAGGCCCATACCCCTTAACCT